TGGCATCTACCGACACTTCCGACGAATCCTGAAGATCTTCACTCGACAGAAAGAGCTGTGAGCAATCAAAAAGCAATTACTTGGTAGAACTAACATAAAATCTGTGAATGAAATGGTCGATGTTACAGAAACCAGTTGATCAATCAGACGACTAGTGCAAATGGACAACTCAAATCGAAATGCCACGATTCGGGTGTGAAACCGTATCAGGGTAAAAACAGTTCCTTACGGAATAACAATCAGAATACCTGCTGGGATTTATTCTTAGTGTAGTACGTTCATACATGGAATAAGCTCCTGCTACAAGTAGAGATAACCGAGAACTTGTCAACATGTAGACCTCATCTGCAAACTTGTTCGAACTCCGACGGTGATCAATATTGTCGACCGTCAGTAATCCGACCCGATAGACATATGGTTGATGACATCCGTGTCGGGATTCGTCTGCCACTGTGGCCCCCATGGGGACAACCTACATCTACAGTGGGACCGTGAGTGGATTGCGCTGCTACAATCGCAGTTCCACACACACAATCAGTGTAAACGCGAAACAATAAGACCGGGAGGCAAGCGGAAGGGAGCAATGTCTCATCAACGGAGCTCGCTAACACACTTTCAAGATGCACAGCAGCAACACTCATGTCTAATTTGGGAGTCATGTGTACCACACGTACACAAAGCGGTGGCTAGACAGTAGTCCGCCCCACACCGGCTGCATGGAACCACTTTTTAAACCTAGCACGATCACGAGGACCGTACACCCCGTCCTCGAGCCCAGCAACCCTTCAGTCTCCTGGAGCCAGTAATCGAGGTAGAGAGTGTTACACAGGTAGGCACTTTGTCAACATTCACATCAAGCGCAGACACACTAGGGATGTCAAACAACCAACATAGAATTTAAGGAAATGCAAGTACACAAATTTGACACAGAATATGTAGCAAAAGAATTGAACAATCCGAATACAGAGAAATGACCGTTCCACAATAAAAAGAACTAGATTAGGTGCAAGTTGGTTTAGCCGAACTGCGGTGAAGAAGAATCGCGAATGCAATATCAACCTCAGCATGAGGCACTTACATATATATATATATATATATATATATATATATATATATATATATTTACCGAAAGACGGTACACGGAAGCATAAGTGGGAGCGATCGTTCGTACAGTGAATAGGCTTCATAAAAGTAAAAATTTATTTAATAGAATTTCGGATCATGATTTTTTCCTCGGGTCCTAGATCCGTGCACCTCATATGTAAAATTTACGGATGTCTGTAACACCAGTAGTAGATAATAAAAGGGAGGGACTACAAGGCTGCGCAGACACAGGATTTGGTATTGTATGTAATGACATGTAGTGAGTAAGCTAGTTGTAAGCAAATATCTGCTGATATGTTTTCTATCCCAGCCTCTGTCAATGTTTCTAGAGTTTGCTACGAGTAAATATCTTCAACGCATTTGATATAGTGAGGAAACTCTGAAGGGAATTTCGAAACGTAACATAGCTTGCACACATGCGTATCTGTAGGGGTAGTTTGTTCCACAGATCAGTGTATCTCACTAAGAAATTCGATCGAGTTTTATGACTAGAAAGGTTTGTGCGTATCAAGTAGCCGCCATTACGTGTGGGGTAGACTGCAGTCTCTGGTAGTTCAAGTGCGGTGTTGTCTGAGTAAATTCGATGGTTTATAATGTTGTAGAAGAGAACGACGTTGCTCTTTAAGCGTCTCAGCCAAAGAGGATCCAGTTGTAGCTCGGGTGATCTGTTCAGATTTTGTTCTGTTCTCCGAGCTGAACAGTTTCGTTGCAAACGTTTCACCACCAATCGTGGTGACTTCTTCAGTGCGTTATAAGCAAACTGAGTTGTTATGTCGATTCTTACCGACGAGCGAGTGATATTTGAACTTACTCACTTCGATTCAGGTCTCGTGACCATTGCTAGTTCCCAGTTTGAGCGCCGCCTCTTTCCGACTCATGTGCCACGTAAATTCTTTTCTCGCAGCTGCTTGTATATCGGATCTAAATCAATGCGTTGGTTTATTGAACTGACTGCAGAAAACCAGGCTACAAGGAATTCCCTCCCTATCTTGGTCTCTCCTTGCCCTAGTATCTCCGTTTTCTACCAATCAAACATGTGCCCTTCTTCATCAACGTGTGTCGAGACCAAGGATGATGGGTAATGGTTTCGACAGTTTCGTCTGTGTTCTTGTAGCCTTGTAGACAATTTTCTTCCCGTTTGGCCCACGTAGTTATTATCACAATTTTTACACTGTATCCTGTAAATAACATACGGCGTTCGTGTGCTCTCGTATTTCCTTTCGGTCTAGACAGGGTTCCTTTCAGTGTTGGTGGGTACGTGAGCCAATAACAGTTGGTGAGGCTTGAGGAGTCTAGCATTCAGTTCCGATACGTTTTTGATGTATGGTAAATCGATCCGTTTCGTTGTTGTTGGTTCAAGTGTGGTGTTTGTACTCGTGTGGTTCATGTATCTTCGGATGAAGCTGCGTGGATATCCGTTGCGCATGAAGGATGTAAACAAATGTTTTTTCTTCTTCGAGTTTTGCTCCTGCAGTATTATAATGTGATTCTATCCTGCGGAACAAGGTGCGTATGCAGCTGATATTTTTGTGACATTTTGGATGGTTGCTGTTGAAATTAAATATTTGATCTGTGTGTGTGTCTTTCCTGTAAACTGATGTTTGTAGTTCTCTGTCCGTTGTTCTAGTAACCAATACATTCAAGAAAGGTAGTTTGTTCTCCATTCCTGGCTCCACAGTGAAGTGAATACCGTCCATTGCATCGTACAGGAGGCTTTGGACGATCTGCAACTGGCTGCGTTTGTGTAAGACAAACGTGTCGTCAACATTTTTGACCCACAATTTCGGATTCCGATATACAGGCAGCTGCGAGAAAAGAATTTACGTGGCACATGAGTCGGAAAGAGGCGGCGCTCGAACTGGGAACTAGCAATGGTCACGAGACCTGAATCGAAGTAAGTAAGTTCAAATATCACTCGCTCGTCGGTAAGAATCGACATAACAACTCAGTTTGCTTATAACGCACTGAAGAAGTCACGACAATTGGTGATGAAACGTTTGCAACGAAACTGTTCAGCTCGGAGAACAGAACAAAATCTGAATGGGTGTCCATGTTTGATCGGGTCACATATATTGTTAACGTAGATTAGGAAAAGTAGTGGTCCGAGCACGCTTCCCTGGAAGACGCCGTTGGTTAGTTGTTTCGGTGTAGAATGGTGCTGACCGATGTTAACTACCTAAGTTCGACCGTTTAGGTATGAGTCGAACCAGTTAAGCAAAGGATTTCCAATTCCATATGACTCCAGAGCAGACAGCAGTGGCTTGTGCGGCACGCGGTCGAACGCCTTTTGAATGCCCAACATAATTATAATAATTGCCATTCCTCTGTCAATTATAGTCGTGACGTGATCGAGACATTGTAGCTGGCAGGTGACGCAGGAGCGTTTTGAGAGAAAGCCATGCTGTGAGGGGTTGATCAGATGCAGTCTTGTAAGATATTGAACAATGTTCTTCTTGACTATTCGTTCTAGGGGTTTGGAAGCAGCAGAGATGTGATTTATTGGGTGGTAGTTTGACAGTTGATTTCTCGGGCCACCCTTGTGCTTAGGCATTATAATGGATTGCTTCTACTGAGTTGGAAAGCAGTCAGTAGTGAGTGAAAGTGTGAAGATGTTTAATAACTATAGGACGAGGTTTTTTCCTCCGAGTTTTATAACAGTTAGGGAGATGCCATCTGGACCTGGACGAGTTGATGGTTTTATGGGTGCGATAGCACTTTGCATCTCTTAACGCCACAGGGATATTGCAGTATAGTTCGGTCGTTCTTTTTGGAAGTGGAGGATGAAATAGCTGAGTGGTGGAGATAAAACAGGAGGCAAAACTACAGTTCATAGCCTCGCATATACAGGAGATGTCGCGCGTTATTGAACCATCGTCTAGAGCCAACGTTTCAATTTCCTGAAGTGATTTAGGGTTCCTTCTTTTGAGTAGTTGCATCAATGTACGTACTTTCTCAGGATTTCTGAGTACCCGACTTTCTTCTTTGATTTTGGCCGTTTGGGTTAGACGTTGTAAATGTAGTAAATCCTCGTGTATTTGTAGCAACGTTGCAAAGCTGTTGCTCCTGCGATATAGGGACTTGAGTTACTTTAGTTTAATTTTGGCTTTGTACAAAAGCTTGGGTTCACCACTACGTTGATTGGTATTTCTCCATACAGTAGGTGCCAGTAGATCCACACCGAGGGCAATATTGTAGCCACAGTAGGGTTGTGAGTTAGGAATGACGTATTCCAATTTATGGTACTGATAAGTTCGTTAAATGAGTTCCAGTCCACATGAAGGATATATATATATATATATATAATATATATATATATATTGTACAGTTATTGTGCCATCCGAAACAGGAAAATAGGGTCAGAAAAATAAGAAAATTTTCTTATCCAATGTTATACTCAGTTTTTGAAATTTCTGAGTTTTTTTAGAAAACGGGGAGGGAATCGCCGCAACTCGTAGATGTGCGTTCGTCCTGAGCCATGTCTTCAAGGGTCTCCAACCAGCGACACCCGATATCTCTGGGATTCCAACCAGGAAACCGAGAAAAAAATGACCAACTAGATTTTATATCAATTCCTAACTACATATTCCACAAACTTTATGTATTACAGACCCAGTTAGCCTCTAAAGGTCATTAATAGCATGCTGACAAATCTTTCTGTCTATGAGCGCATAGTTTATATTCGAACGCACTGGTGTATTAGGAGTTCTTGGCGAACCGAAAACATCAGCCAACGCAGATTAGCGATGCGCAGCCCAATAGAAACGATTATTTCCGAATGGAAACGTATTCCACCGGTCGGCAAATTTACCTATTAATTTATTTATCGTAGTTGAATAGCGGAGCGACGAACTCTACTGACACGTGGAGAAGTAAAAGCCGAAGTAACAAGAGATTAATTACTTGTTGATGCGCAACATGGACCTGATTTCGCGACGTCGCTCTTCGATTTTTGCATTAAGCCTTTTTTCCTCTTGTTCATGACGACTAATAGCTATTCGTAAGTGGGCCAAACCGGTCAAGATAGAAAGATTCATCTTGGAGTTACTTGACTTGGTGAACGCGGAAACAGGAACCTTGGGCTGTTCCGAGACCCAAACGAGCTTCTGGAAAGGAAAGACAAGGGAGAAATTACAAACAAGAGGTAATTGAGTTAGCCTGCAGTAACGGTCAAGCGAACAGGGCAAAGTGCCTAGTCAAAACACTAGATCAGTCGTAAGATCTTAAAAAGGATTGTGCAATTGGCAATAAGAAGACGTGATCAAAATACGCGCGAAGCACACAGCAAATCAACTGTAAAGCGAATACGCAGGCGGTACCAAGGAGGTGCATATGATCAGGTCAATCCAGTAGATAAACTATGACTAATGCAGTAAGAGCATTTGAAATAGTTGCTATAGTTCACATCGCCACAACTGATTGTTCTCTAACAAAAACACAAGCGTACCAGCAGGGTCCAGGTTTCATAAAACTATGAAGATATTTCGCAACTGTACTCTCTTCAATGAGTTAGCTACTTTACACTTAGGTAAGAGTGAGCGGTTAATGGCCAGCTAACGTCATTTTTTTTCGGTCAACCATACATTGTCTTTGCTGTCCATCCAAACGTGATTACCTGATCTGATCTTCAATATTCCTGATACACCTGATACATGTATGCACTTTCCCGAGCATGCAGATACAGGCGTGTTTCGCATCGTCAGGAATAAAGGTTTATTCAGTTATTTATGTTTTATATATAACGGCAACAATTACAAGTTGTAAAATATGAAGCGGAAAGAAAACAGTTACGGACAAAAGTACAGTGATCGAATTAGAGCCATAAGCCAGAAACTGGAGGATGCAAGGGTGTTACGTCTGTTAAGCATTTCACCCACTAACGTTAAGGATCTTGAGGTTTATAAAACGAACCAACTAGACAGCTGTTCGGTCAGGCTACAGGCTTCTTAGCCAAGTCATCAACTGATGAGGTGAGATTTCATATATTCAGATGCAACAAGGCTGAACAGTGTACTACGGTAAGCATGCGAAGAGCGTAAGCATGGGTGGTGCAAAATCAGTCGCGACGACAGAAGACTTGCTGTCATGTCCAAATGAGGTTGTGTAGGCACCAGTGGTGAAAAACGGTTTATCTTCCAATGTCTACAGCAAACTAGCTTCAGGTCACCGAGCCACATAGTATCACCAACCAAAATGTAACTCACTCAACCAATCATCGGCTCCATCGCTGACTGAAGCCAAGAAAACCCGCATAGTTTACAAATGCATTCATAAACCCCGTCGGCACTTAGCCTTAAAGATCACAAGCACGCCTAGTAATCCGAGTGCGCGCTTAGAGTACCAGGCGATCCTCGAGGGTATCCTTAGCCCACATGAGACTGGTGGTGGTTGCGCGGAAGCAAAGCGTCCGTACTGCGCACCGGCGTACTGCTGATCTCTTACATTTTTTTCTACTTTGGGGAATTAATCTAAGGTCGTGTTGCACCATAAGTGGCGGATGTGCAAGTGCGATTCGAGCTTTAGCCGTGTGGTTTGTGACATATCGCATTCTGCAGGTGCTTTATAAATGCCAAAGTAGTAGAATGTAAGATCCACTTCTGGTTGATCCCTACCCAGTGGCAAGATAGGGGTGGTTGCGGCCAATCATGAAGGAATGGTTTGCATCTTGACAGTAAAAAAGTTAATGTTGAATGCATTGTTAAAAGAGAAAGTGAAAATCAAATTTGTACAAGCGACAAACTTACCAAACTTAGCCGCCAATTAACTTATGGTATTATAAGCAGCTTGGTCTGTATACTGATAAAAAAGAGTGAGGCTACCTTGTCTTTTGCATGGCAGTAATGTGCAAGTCTCTCATATAAATGTCTAGTGATCTATGAGCGAGGCCACTCTGGACCACTACAGAAGCGACGACGGGTCCTGCAGAGAACGTAGGCAGAACCGGCGCAGCGTTTGTAGGTACGCTGCATTCGATTTACTAACCGCGTGCTTCCAAGCTAAGTCTATTTATTTCAGGTAGTGGGTTTTCAATTTTGCCTTAATGCATTTCTTTCTCATATCAATGTCTACCTGTACTCTATTCCATTAACTAGCACACCTCCCTTAAGGCAATTGTATTCGATTTCCATAACATCTGTGCTCGTGGCATTTCCGTAAAGTATACTTTCTGACCTCGTGAACTTATCTAGGATTCGTTTGTAAACAACTTATTTCATATGCTCATTAACTTAAGGTTTATGTCACCGTTTCCTTATGCATTAATCGAGTTATTTTCTTTGTATCTCTCTCTCAAGTGATTGGCTTGATATCCCTGGTGTGGCTGCGCTTGATGTGCATGTTGACAAGGTGCCTACCTGTCTATTACCCACTACCTCGTCCATACTGGCTTCAGGAGACAGTTGGTCGTTGCTGGAGGGGACGGGGTGCACGGTCCTTGTGGCCGTGTTAGGATCAAAGAGTGCTTCCATGCACTCAGTGTGGAGCGGACTACGGTCCAGCCACCGCCTTGTGTGCGCTTGATTCCCCAAATACAGTGTGCTTGTGTTTGCTGTGAAGGAGTGTGGGCCGGCTCCGTTGATGAAACGTGGCTCCCATCCACATGTCTCCCGGTCTCATTCCTTCGGGTTTACACTAGATATGGGTATGTGGTTGGAGCTGTGGGTGGTGCAGCGCAAGCCACCCATGGTCCCTCTGTAGGCGCAGGCGTCCTGTGGCTTGCCACAGTGACAGGCAAATCCGAAAACGGATGCCGCCAACCAATGTGCAAGTAGGTTGATAGTGAGCAGCGCTATATCACATTCAGTAACATAGTTACGACGGTCGTTGAGGCCCCCTGTAGCTCAGTGGTCTCAACACGGATGTCCGGAGCGCCAGGGAGGAGTAGCATCTCTGGTAGGGGACCTGCCTTACCCTCCGGAGTAGTCCGCCTACATTTGTTTTTCACCTGCGGCTACAAGAAGCTGTTTGCACGCGGTAGCGGCCACCCCCCGGTCAATAGGTAAGTCACTGGACCTTAACGACCTTTGTTAGCCCACTATTCACGCTTGGCTATAGCATATACTAGATAGCTTTTACCATCCCATTTAAAAGATAAATGACTGCCATTAACACTAGTGCGATGAAGAAAAAGTGTGCGGAAAACCGAACAATCACGGTAAATAACGTTGCGGTCACGAGTGCCAAGGAACCTATGCTCTGTTGCACACATTCCGAGCCGCCTTGGATACAAGAGCAGGGAAATAAGTCCAAATGACAAATGACAGAGAATTCAGTTAGTGTTGTCGACTTTATATCTCCACTGTCAGCCAAAATAAAGATGTTGGAGAAACAGTTAGCGGAACAAAATGAGAAATTAAAGTTGTTTGACTCATTCGGAGATCTCCTAATGTCGGTTTCATGCATAATGCAGTCTCCGGCTAATCCAGCGCAAAAGCACAAAATTGGAGCAGTAAACTTCCTATATGCAGTCGCATCTGAGGTTATCCAAAGATGCACTTGGGGAAAAAACGCCATCGCCCTCAACATAGCTGATAATATCGCGATTGACAACATTAAGCATACTGTTTCGAGGGCGTGCAACATCGCTGAGACCGATATTAGTTGTAGAGGATTGAGGAAAAAATCTTTACGTTTTTCTTGTCCGACTCTGTTCAGCTTTCGTAGCGAAAGTCTCGCAAGTTCGTTTATCAAAAGTCAAAATACTTTAAGATCTGTTCCCAAATGTTGCCAAGTTATTCTATTTGAAGACAGGTCACCTTTGCAACGTAAGTTTCAACGCATGAGTGCAACTAATGTCTCGCTTGAGCCGAAGCAGAGTCATCCCCCTTGCGCGCTTTCTGGATTGCCAAGAAGGAGAGCATTCAACAGTGTTTGATTCTCCCCTTCTAAAAACGCAGATAATATTATCAAGGCCACTCTCCACACAAGCGATGCTAAGGCTGGCGACAGCGTAGCGGAAATTGAGATGCTCACGCCTCCACACCACATCAGTCTTGTGGGCATAGGAAATAGTGTAGATTCACTCGATGCACCACGTTCTGACAAACCAGTAGGGGTTGGGATCAATCCCTACACCGCTACTGAAACAGATACAAGTCCAAAAACATCAAATGGGACTATCGATAGCTCCAGTGAAGGTACATTACGGCTCACTAACATTATGACTACACATAGCAGCAGTGGCCATGGTCTGCGCACTAAGCGTCTTAGATCAAACAGGGGGTTTCGCGCTAGAAAAACGACTCACCGTGTCCCAATGACAGTCGTGAATAATAATACTGCTGCACAGAGTGGCAAGCCACAATTCCCCATTGTTCCGGGGATGTGCCAAAGCTGTTCTCCTGGCAGACCTGTGCATGACTGCTGAAACACAGACCACTTATTTATGCCCCTATCCATACTCTATTCCGCCTCCTCATCTCACAATGCCTTCTGCGAGCCCTTCGGCAACAACACCCTATCCGCTTAAACTCAATCGCCCCAACTTACCACAGCATTCTCTTTGCATTCCCCCATCCACTCTAATCCCGATAGGACTGGCGAATCGCACGGTAAGGGATTTGCTGCGGAAGGATCTAGAACTAATGTGATTGCAAGAGTAAATACTGGGTGGAATGATGAACAGCGCCAGCACTTTTTAAGACTGATGATAATTAATATCCGTTCTCTGTTGAATAAACTTCATATACTCCGCATCTTCATAAGTCTGAATAAACCTGATATGATTTTACTCACCAAAACCAGCTGCTTTCTATCGAAGGTTACAAGCTTATTAGAAGTGATCAAAAGCAAAGCAGAGGAGGTGGTTGCATAAATTAGTACTCACAGAACCTCCTTGTGTCTGAATTCACACTTCCACTTATATGCCCCACTATTGATTCCGCATGGTTACTCTAGTCCTTCGGTACTAAGCGAACTCTTGTAGGCTGTATATACCGCTCACCCGGGAGCCAGCTTCAGTGATGAGAACCAGTTGGTTGACATCTTCAATTACATATCGCACCTTTGTTCTTTTGATAAAGTTGTAGGTTTCAATCTACCAGATACCTGTTGGTCAAACTTGGTAACAAACGCGAAACATGCTGAGTTCATAACCTCCGTCATCACT